AGCCACGTTGTATACATAGCATGCAAACATGCACACACAGGAACACATAAAGGTGAAATACGCAGCAGCGGAGATATCTGCACGTAAAAATCCATATCTGCTTTACAACACACCATCCCCCCATACTCTCTGTGCTTTGGTTATGCCTGTATGTATGTGCGTGTGCAGTCACGTGTGTGTTTGCTTGCCAGCGAGTCACTGAATGCTCTAATGACCACAGCCCTGACACAGGTATTTTGACTGCTGCCTCTTTCCATCGGCACATTGACTGACATGCGATTAGTTACGCTGGGGTGAAAACTAGGGAGGCACACACTGTAACCATAAAAAGAAACTAGGAGGAGGGTTAAGTCCTTTTTTTTTCTCCATCTCTCCTGTCTCATCTTTCTTTAAATCTAAACCATCCCTGGTTCCAGTTACCGGTTGTGTGATTTGGTATTCAGTACATACAGTAAAGCACAGCTGGGCTCACAGCGACCTTACGAGGAAAGCCTCTCGTGTAGATCAATGCGGGTTAGCAGCGCTGTTAAGGTTTGAACAGAATGCAAAATAACCGACGTAGTAGGAATATAGAACTGGTACAAAACTGATCTAAAAATGCCTTTTTTTCGTAAGTAGAGATGCACTGCCGAGTTACTGACCGAAGCCAGCAGGCCTAAGTGATCTACATTAAATCCAGTTTATTTGTCAATGTTAACACAAACTTCCCTATTTTTGCTACGTTTTAAATAATTCAGGTCACTAATTTTTTGTGCCACAGCCCTCCGTGGTGCATAATAATGTCCCAATAAGTTCCACATGGTGAGGTTATGAAGATTGTACATTTTGGAAATAGAGAACAATATCTGATCAGCACTCAGTATTGGCAGACACCCAGAGATTAGGTAGTAGGTATTGGAAATGAAATAGAAAATTTCTATTGTGGCACTGAACATAATAGACTGGTGAATGCTAAACAAGTATAAGGAGTATAAACTGAGCCTATTACTTTCACAGTCATCAGTAAAAGTAGAAATCAATCCTGAATCCTAATTTTTCTCATGTTTTAAGAAGTTCTATGATAGAAACTTTCTTTAATGGATGGATACAATTGTAAGATGAGTCCTTGTCTGAAGGCTTTGGAAAGCTACATTTCTGATATGCTGTGTTCCAGTCAACAGTTGTTCTGTAACCTCTGCGACTATGGTGCACTTCCTGCATCAAACTGACATTGGTTTGGCTTTACGCAAACACAAAACTATTTATAGCATCTCTCCCACTTTATTTTCTCCCTCTCTATCGCTCTCCCTCTCATGTATTTGCATTTCTGCTATGCAAACAGGAGTCTGGTGTCAAGTGCGTCAGTTGTACAGGCCTCACTTGTCCCTTCTATTTCTCAAGCCTCAATCTATCTCAAAATTTCTCCTCTTCGTTCCCTCACTCGACATGACTCCCCTCTCCTCCATCTCACTGTAGCTTTCCGCCTCTCTCTCACCTTCACCCTCTCCCCCCTCCCCCGCTTCACCCTCTATCCCTCTCTCTCTCTGTCTGTGTTTTCCTTTGCTCAATTGTTTTGCTGTAGATTTGACCGCTATGATTAATGACCTCAAAGCCTCAGGAAAGCAAACAGAGAGAGACACGACAAGCTCGCCCTTCCCTTACAAACCTCCCTTTTTCTCATATGTCAACTGCTCGTATGTTCACACTAAGTACGTTATGACTTCTTGAAAAAGATGTACGTCATACGAGTCAGATTACAGACAAGACAAAGATTTTATATGCACAGAATATTGTCTGATTTCTGCAGACAACAACTGCCGCCTGGCAGACAGGACAGCTTTCCCAGACCATTGTTGTAAAGCCCCCTCAATTGTTCATTTATTCTAAGGGGATTTTTACTGTAGTTTATTTGGCTTATTCCCAACATTTCAGAGCTTTTGTCATCTTCATCTAAATGAGAATCAAAGCAGGGACCTCAGATGAAAATAAATGACATGCTCAAAGGTCAAATTCAAGTTAGTCAAACATAGAGGTTGGTGTTCAGGTTGATATCAGCTGGGTGGATGCTTGAATATAGACAACGGTTAGATAATGAAGGTGACAGTGTGACTGTATTAACATGAAATAAGCAAACCATTTCAACTTTTTTTTTTGTCAGAATCAACCATTTGTAACGTGGAACTACTACTGAAAGGTACATTATGATAAAATTCACCTGGTTAGATAACATCCATCCATTCATCCATCGTCAACCGCTTATCCTGCGTACAGGGTTGCGGTGGGCTGGAGCCAATCCCAGCTGACATTGGGTGAAAGGCGGGGTACACCCCGGACAAGTCTCCAGTCCATCGCAGGGTCAGATCACAATTCATAGTTATTAAGAACAGAATAAAATGTTTCAGGGCACAAGCAATTTGAATTCCATGTCTGTGCTTTAAAGGAACAGTTCAACATTTGGGGAAATGCGTTTATTCTCTTTCTTGCCAAGAGTTAGATGAGAACATCGATACCACTTTCATGTTTTTGTGTTAAAAATGAAGCAAGAGCCAGCAGCCAGCTCGCTTAGCTTAGCATGAAGACTAGAAGCATGGCGAAACAGCTAGGAAACCAGGAAGTCACTGCACCTAGCTTCACATTTAAAGTACAGACATCAATCTTTTAAAACACTCCACATCGGAGTCAGACTATTAAACTAAAATTGGCACAGAGTAAGTACAAACATAGGGTCATGCAGAGATTTGTTAGCCACAGTCCCCTCCTGTATATTTACTGTAGCATGAGTATAGTACACTTAGCCAGTTGCTAACCATTAACTAACCTTTCCCCTAGATTTAGATATTTTTTTGTTATTCTAACAACTCTGCCCTCAGTGACTCCTTCACATTGTGCTGCAGGAGCACTACCGCAGACTTTTTGCTCCTTGACATTCTGTATAATTGTTTTCTACTTACCCTGTTTTGCTCATTGAGATCTTGGTTTGCAGGTGTGGAAAAAAACTCCAGACACCATCACATCTAGCACGATGTGATTAGGACAACACGGAAAATCATTTTCCAAGAGCAATAAAGAAAGTCATTTAATTTTTTATTGCAGAATACAATGAGGGTTCCTGCCGCAAACTAATAGTGCTATCAGACAGAAATCATTGCACTAGAAGTAAGAGCTCCATCAGAGGCTGAATGATAACATGGAAATGGAATTGGGGCTTCAAATTGAATAATGTTGCCAGGATTTGCCTTTTTAAGGTGGTTTGTTTGGTGCTCTGACTGTGGCATGTTAAGATACACACAAAAATGCAAGAAAACTCTATTGGAGAGGAATTTGAATGTAATTTAAATGGAAAATGTTAAATAAAATTCCCCCAAAGAGATCATATCTAACAAGTGAACAACTAGAGTACAGTAAACTTAGTCCCTGAACATGTGGCTTTTTACGTGTGGTGAAACATGGCTTTAAAAAAGATTGTGGCCCATTTTGGTCCCTGCTCACAGTTTGAGAAACACCCCTAGTAAGTTACTGTCGGCACATATCCATCCCGTTACTTGACCTTACAGTAGCAGTGGTAATTCATCTCAGCCACTACTAGCTGTCTTGAGGTGTGTTTTGTTTCCTCATAAATGGCTGGTGCCAAACAATGTCAGGCAGAGAAGCAGGGAAGGCCTCTGGGAGTGTGTGTGTGTGTGCATGTTTATATGCCTGTGTGTTTCAAGCTGTGGCCTCTGGCTGTGACCCCAGTGTTAATCACACTACAGCCCAGAACAACCACAGGCTCTATCACCAGTACTGCTGCCACAGCCCTCCTCCTCTCAGATTCTTTTCTCTTTCATTCATGCTCTATGTCCTCTTTTTTTTTATCTCTCTCTCTCTCTCTCTCTCTCTCTCCCTATGCCTCCGACATACAGTATCCTTCCTACTGTACCTCCCACTTACACACGATCTTTACCCATTCCTTGACTATTAGTTCAGGGATACACCCTCGTTTTTCTCATCCTCATAACCTCAAAGCGTCACCTTTCTTCTAGCCTAAGCCTCCCCTTCAGGCTTTGTGAGCTCTCTGAGTTCTGAATTAGCGGGGTTGCCCTGTCCTCCTTTCACTGGCAAAGTGCAAAAGCTCTAAAGGCTGTTCTCACCTCTTTTCGTTCTCTGTGGTGTTGATCACAAGCTGGGTGGCTGGGTGGCTGGTTGGCAGGGTTGCTAAAAGTGTTGATTTGCATTTCGCCGGCCATCTTACTGATTGGTTAGGGTGACTGGCTTGGTGGGAAACAGCTTCTGTGTCTGGTGGTCTCTCTGAGATTGTCAGTATTTGTCAACCTCTAATATGATTGATGGTCAGTGCAACATTGTAATCACCACATTCATTCTAGAGATTTGGAAAACCCGCGCTACGGCACAAATTATGTCAAGCAGAGGGATGAGCATGAACCTCCTACAGCTTTTCAAATAGAAATCTTCTTGAACACTTGTCTTTGTAGTAGGTTTTTAAGTAGGTCCCTGGAAATTCCTATAGCTGTTGTTGCAAACTGCAGGGCACAGCAAATCAATTTCTGGGCCAACTCCTGGCTGACTTACCTGTCATACATCGTTTAATTATGTTAATGTAGCTTTGGATTTTACTTGACTGGCCAACTTGCCGGCTGACTAACTAGATGGCCGTTGGTGCTCTCAGTGTTGTGATTATCAGTCTGTTGTGCCTTTGTCGCCCTGTCACACCCGTGGGATTGCAGCAGTTAGGTGTGCGCTCACTTACACACACAATCTCAAGCTGTAGGCAAGCTGAGACAAAGTGTGCGAGTTACACAAGCTTTGACAGGGCCTAATTATACGTGTCTCTAATGAACTGTAATTACTGACATCCACCAGAGCATCGAGGTCTATAAGCCGAGGACTCGCAGTCATTAGGCTGCAGTGTTACACTGTTTTTGTATCTCCACTGACTGACTGAAAATCTCAGCTTTTTCCCCCTTGTTGTGATGTGTTGGTCTCTGCCTAACAGTTTTCTGATTTTCTCTCTCTCTCTCCAGTTTGATGGTGACAATATGTACATGAATGAAAACAACCACGAGTTTCTCCCGCCAAACCAGGTGAGTTTAAATTGCTCCAATGCCCCTGCTCTTTGCCTCTTATTTCATCTGTTCCCAGTGATCGCTGCAGAGCCATTTTCCTTTCCACCGTTGTTCAAGCTTGATGGACGACAAATTGTTATATGGCATCGGCTGAAAGCAAAGGGGCTGGAATCTTTTGAAAAAAGGATTCCAATTAGTTCACACATGTTTTATGCTGAGAACATAAAACATTCTTGATTGTATGAAATATTCCCTTGGGATTGTTAATTTGAATGTTAGTGGTCAAAGTGTGTAATAAACAGAAACACGTTTCTCCTAGTCCTAGAAACTAAATCTAATCATTAGTTGTTACCTTGGCAATGACTATTCCTGTGATTCATAAGCAGTTACCGGTCAATCACCACTATAGCCAACCCAATAAATTACCATCAAAACCAAATACATGACAAACAATCACACAGAACTATTAACAGTAGAACACTGAAATAATAATAAATTTCAATTTGCAAAGAAATTCAAAGACTACTTATTGCTTCCCAGGCCCATCTTACAAAATAACCACTTTATTTATTTCTTAAAACTTTTTTAAAACTAGATTCTTGATACATATCATTATGGTTGTTTAAACCTTTTAAAATATATATTTGTTGTCTTTTTTTACACTGAAGCTGGAGTCTAATCCAGCATGCACTGGGCAGATAGCATTGAAACACCCTGGACAGGTCACAGTAGTCTGTCACAGTCTGCGCCACACAGTCATAATTACATTTCTAGGAAGAGGAAACCAGAGAATCTAAACCAGCGAAAATATTCAAATTCCAAACGTACTGGGAAAGTGCTGGGACCTTCTTTCTGTGAGGCGCCAGTGTCAACCATTACACTAACGCTGCTATCATAAAATTTAGATTCTCTGTATTCCAATTATGCAATCATCGTCTGTGTGCACCATTTTCACTTTGGTAAAAGCCAAGCAGAAAGTGCTGCTTCACTCTTAGTGAGTTTTGGCCTCATTGCAAAGGATTTATTAAGTCAGAATGGAGGGGGAGTCAGCGCTCTTCTACAGTACATGGCACCCATGCCAAATACTCTGTAGCACAGCTGGTCGCGAACAACTGGGAGACCATATGGTTGTGTTTGGACAGGGGGATTTGTGGAGTTTGGGAATAAGCCCATCTGACATACACAGGGGAGAAGGGAATTTGTCCCTGTCAATTGCAATTATTAGAACCGAACCATAGGCTACAGTAGTTCTGTGTTTATGTTGCATTCGCTCTTTTGCTTAATTTCTTAATGCTCTGGTTTTTAAAGCATGGCTCAAATCCCAGAATGAGACACATGCTGCTTCCTGTACATGATTCCTTAAGTTTATTTAGATAACTCTGACAACAAATATGTCTGTCACAGAGTGATTTTTCAGTTGGATAGTACTGTTATCTGACAGATTTCTCATGCTGGTACTTGGCTGTCCAGAAATCTTAAGAACCACTGCTTTTATCACCAATTTTGATCCAGCACATGTAGTTTTACTGCACTGCTGATTGACTGATTACAAGTCATGCTGATGTGCACAGTGTTTTTTTTTTTTCCGAATTACTGAAGGACAGATAAAACATTGCGAATGTGGCATAGACGATAGACAGAGAGAGAAAAGGAGAGAAAGGTGGGGATCAAGGAAGCAAGAGAGAAAGAGGCAGATAGGGGGAAATAGAGTGAAAGACGGTGATGGGATGGGAGATGATTTTGCTTTGCTCTGTGTTATACTTTGTTTACTCAAGATCTTCTCATATTTGACATGTGCCTTGCTCTATTCTCCGCTTCACCAAGTTTAGCCTCTCCTTCCCTCTGACAGCTAGAATCAGGGAGGGCCTTAGGGGTGGACAAACACTCTAACAACAAAACATAGAGATGGAAGAAATAGAAAAATCACTGATCTGCACCTCCATGGCTGTGTTCTAAGCAGATGTAAAGAGTGTGTTTACATTGGAAAAGTAACAAAGTTTACTAAAGAAAGTCAATATGCATGGTACAAATGCTTAAATTTTAAGGGTGCTGGTTCACAAATTGTGGGTGGTGACAACAGCTCGAGGAAGTTTTAAATCTGTTGCTTTGTTTAATTTACAGAGGAATACCAAAATTGTGTGTCCCAAATCTTACTTACTAATTCTAAACAGTATTCTGTTATATCCTTATAGTATAGTGTTTTTGCAGTTGGAATACAAGAAATACTTAACCATTTTATACAGCAAATTATGTAATACTGCACCATCCGACATCAATCAAACTGCGACTTTACTTTATTGCCAAACAAAAAGACAGCAGAATGTGTTTTTCCCAAAATACTTATTAGTTTTTGGATTGTGATGTTTCTAGAGCTGTCAGTTTGAGATTTTATTCAGCTTCTCCAATTTCTTTGTACAATACATTGTGGGAGTGTTTTGAGTATACTTTATTTTGTCACTCAAAACCTGCTTAGAATTAATGTGCAGTATAGATTGCTCTACTAATACAAATTGGTAAAGTGCATTGATTTCTGCTGTCAAAAAAAAAGTTGAATATGACAATAACTGTATTGTACATAATTTATGCATGTCTGTTTCATTGGATTGGATGTTTGACCGAATGGTTAAAGTGAAGCTTAAAACACATGAGGAAGCAAGAAGCTGTAAATTTGTTTGTGCTTGTGTTGTTTGCCAGTGCTGAGATGGAAATGGCCTTGGTGAAAGCAAGAGGGATAAGATAGCTGCAGGGATAATTTTTTCATTAACTACTTTTATTCCTCAAGAAAAGAGTGTATACAGTATATTATTCTCAATATATTCCATCTTGAATAAAAACAAATCATACTGCCTAAAGCTCACTTTTCTCTACTTGCTGCTTTATTATCTCGTTTTACTTTTCTAGCTTTCCTTCTCCGATTCTCTCTGACTCCCCCTCTTTTGCCCTTTTTTTGTCACCCTGTTTCTCTTTTTCTCTCTTACCCCCTATTGCATTTTAAATGCATTTGGGTCAGTGGTTCCACCTCCAAACCGTTTGAAAGTGTGTTTCTCGGTGCTCTGCTGTCTCTCACTTGAGTTTCGTCATGTTATTGCTCTATTTAATCTGGCTCACCTATATAAATATTTTTTTTAAACATAAGGTACATTCATATGGGACATAAGCATGGCCCTGTTGAGTAACTCTGGCCTAGTAACCACATCAGATAGTGACACGCTAAGTTGGGTATGTTCTCATGATGAGTCAAAAGGAAACGGGGTCAGTGCCATTGTCATATCGATGTTCCCATGAGCATCGTAGTCTAACCCTGCTTAGTTCTCTGTAGTGTTTCTTCCAGTCTCTCTCTCCCACCCCACGGCGGAGTGACAAAGTGTTTGTGATTCAATGACAAGGTCACGGACCCTGGTCTTGGCATCAACAAGCTCTTTGTCTGTCCCCGTGGCCACTGACCATTGTCGTGGCAACAATGTAGAAAATAGCAACCAACGACGAGAACCTCTGACTTGTTCCGGTGTCTTCACAGAGGTCTTATCAGCCCCTCGAGCACAAAAAGACACACAGTGGAAAGTGGACAAGCACCTCCCAAGTAGAGAGCCTGTTTTTTTTATTGTCATAGAACTTTTACTAGACCTTCACCTGAAGTGAGATTTCTCTTGCCAATACTAAACAGAACAGTACGGAGCGATGCTATCAAAGATAATGCACTGTGGAGATGCCTTCTCATAGCTCCGCTGCAAACTGAAAGAAACAGTATACTTCATCAGCACTTTACCTTGACAATGCTTTGCTTTGATGTCTTTCTCCCTGACTTATGAATTCATTTAGCGGAACTGCTGTTTGAGAGAAATATGTCACAGAAAAAAACGAACACGAGGAGGAAATGGTAAGGGAGGGCAGAAAGAGAGATGGAGAAACTGCACAGGGGAATAATTCGGCTAATGGAGTGACTGTTTGGATATTCAGCAGAAGTCGGAACAGAGATTATGATCTTGCAATTAGTGTAACAAGGTTTTATTGATTGGCTGCCGCTGTAGCGTCTTTGCTGCCAAGACGCTGCATGTGGTTTTAACATGCACAGTGTGTGTGTGTAGCCCAGCCAGTCACACTAGTCCTACTACTACTAGAGCAGAATCCAGCTCAGTGTTACCATCGAGCTGTGGCCATTTCCTGAGCATCAAAGCTGAAATATTATGGATTGCTGAGTTGAAAGGGCCTGTTTGAATGCCTGATGATAAAGCGGACTACATTTGCATTTTCCGCTCTCTTTTAAGTTAATGCATTGCCCTCCTTCTTCTCTGAGTAAAATGCAGGTATGAAAAGGCGGCTTCTGGTAACGGGTGATTTGAAAGTTTGTCTGCCTGTTTTACATGTTGGGAGCTCAAATTATGTTTTTGACGGTAAGTTTGATGCTATTTTGCCTCTCAGTTATTTTGTTGTAAGTCATTGCTGCCAAGGATTAGACCGACCCCTTGGGTGTTGTAATTGTAATTAGAGAGGTGTTTGAGTGCCAACAGCAGATCTGTGGGACACTGAGAAGAAGAGGCATTGTAGATCGATGTAAAAAAATGTATGAGGCAGCAAACAGATGTGATTATTATTAAGTTTATTAAACACATTTACAGACTGAACTTATAATGAGGCCTTCATGTTATTTTTATTATTCCTAAATGTTGTTAATGTGAGATTTAGTTGTGTGAGAGCTCTTGTTAACAGATTTGAGCAGATATGATGACTGTCACACAGTTTTAGTGTCTAAACTTGTAGACACTCCAGTCTGATGAGTATGATTAAGTCCTCCTCCACAGCTCCCCTGCGTCTCTCATCTTTCCCACATATGTTTCTGATGAACCATTGTAGAACATGATCCCTCAGTCTTTTATGTCCAGCCTTTGACAAATCTATCACCTCGTCCCTCTATGCTCTGAATTAAAGGCCCATTCCACCATTCCAGTTTAGATGAGTAATTCTCTTGTTTGGCTGCAGCCCAAAGCCCAGCCAGCCCGTCTGGAACCTCGGCGGAGCCT